TTTCACATCTGTTCATTAAATAAAAAGGGGAAAAAAAAAGTAGGGCAAATTTTGTTTGAAAAGAAACAGGAAGCATATGCTTAATATCACTTAAGAAACCCCTAGCCATCATAAGGTTAACATCAAATCACAAATGCAAAACAGTCATTATTGTATTTACTCAAAAATTTTCTTTCACTTTACTAGCTTTTTAGGTTTTCAATTGAAGCATGCATTTTTCAGGTTTCAATCTAGCTTCTTTCATCAGATGCTATTGTAAGAAAGGCTGTCTGAGTCAACATTTGCTTACGTTTATTAAAAATAGTTGTCTTGTGTTTACACAGCTCCTTTGATCCAGAAAAATCCCCAAACACTTTGTAAGTTATACTTGAAAGGGTTACTTCCTCCACCCTGAACAAAACCACGTTGGGACCAAGTCATGGCAGGAGATTAAAAATGGATAGAAATATCACAATAATTGGGTTGGTCCTCACCCCCTCAGAGAGCCAGCAGTTTTCCATGAGCTTCAGAACAGTTCCTGGGAGCTTAAGGTGGTTTGCATTTTGGGGGCAATAAGCAATGGCAATACTGTCTGTCCTCTTGGAGATGGCCTGTTTTTCATGCACTCGGCAGATATAGAGGCAGAGGTACCTACTGCACCAAGCATGGGGCTGGTGGGATCTCAGCCACGCCTACTGTTTCCAGTTTGAGCATCTCATTCCAGAGAAGACATGGATCAGAGCCAAGGCAGAGTAGAGGAAAGGATAGAGGGAAAGCACCTGAGGACTTGCAAAGAAAGGTGGAGGGAATTGTTTGTTTAAAAAAGAGAAGGCTGAGGTGAAACATGGTTAAATTTTCCAAGTACGTGAAAGGCTCCTGAGAAGAGAAAAGGAACAAACCTGTCCATGGGGACAGGACAAGTCATGACCTGTGGCAAGGGAGATTTGGTGAAACATTAGGCAGTAATTCTGGGCACCAGAAATGGTGAAATGCTGGAATGGATGTCTGGACAGATTCTGGAATTCCTATCATTATCACTGTTTTTTTGAGACTGGATGAGACAAATGTCAGGAGGGGTTTAGATCTTATTCCTGTGTCGGGGGCAGATGGGCCAGAAAGACTCCCTGGTCCTGACCTGTGTCCTTCTGCTGTGGTGTCCTGTGTGGTCAGATGAACCCTGCTTACATGGATGAACCAAGTCATGCTAAAAATTAGTTTGTGACCTCCCTTCAAAGTCCTTGCAAGACAAACCAGAGCAGAAATTCTCTCAGTGTGTTGCTTGTGAGTTTCTTTTATTTTTCAGATTTGAAATGCTCCCAAACCACCAAGGTGCTTCAGCACACCCCCAGCTTAGAGGGCTTGGATCATGTAATTGCATTCAGTAGAATCTGTGCACAAAGCCTGTGCCTGAGGCCCCATTTTTTGGGGAGAGTTTTACACATTCTAATGATAGTAAGACAATGTATGAGTAATGCACTGATTTGAAAAAGTGCCGTATTATCTGATCAAAAGAACAAGCTCATGAATATGATACCGCAGGTCATTTGGCTAAAACGTACCTGGAGTCTTCCAAGTTTTTAAAACAATCCCATACACAGAAGCAAAAAAGAGAGGTATGAACAGCAGAGCCAGTGGTTGCCTGTTAACCACAGATCATGTGGAATGTTTTATTGAAGATATTTTTATCAGATACACAAGACTGAAATACAGAATATCCTGGTCTGGCAAGAGAAGATGTGATAATAATTTAGATTATTATCCCACAGATCTCTGATTCATTTTTATTATTCTCTATGTTCATTTCAGGAATGCTCAAGTCCTCCTCAAGGAAGGTTTCTGGTTGAGTTCAGGGGATTCTGCTTCATCCTTAGGAAATGTCCAAGGGTCAGTGAGATCCTACATGCACATGCAAACATGTTCAGAGGGAGTTTGCAGAAGTCATCTCCTGACACCAGGGCCATCTCTGAGATCAGGTTATAATCCAGCCTGGCTGTCCAGGGCCCCTCTGTAATGCCTAGGAAGTGAAAGACCCCAAGCAAGAGTAAGACCCCCTAGAAACCTGCACTGGAGTGAGGTGGACCAGCTTCTGGAAAGGCTTCTCTCCCCATTCACTACACAATAGCCTAGTTAAAAACCGGCACCCGAGGTTTTACAAGGACTTGTAGTATTTGGTAAAAGGGATAATTCTCTTTAAATATCTCTAAACCACCTTGGCAGTCAGCTAAAAGTACATTAAGAAAATGTTTTTTATGGATAAGCTGTGATTCATTTGCTATTAGCAAATGCTTTGTAGATGTTAGTGGAAACACACTGTTCTTCTCTTGTAAAGCACTCAAGGAGTTTTTGAAAACAAACAACCCCACCTAACAGTATTTATCTTAGCAAGAATGCTTTTATACAAATGTAATGTCTTGAAAACAGAAAGTAACCTCATTAACTAAGGAGAAGTGGTCAGCAATTCTCAGGTCCTTGAATAAGGGAGAAAAGAAAATTAACTAAATCCAACCAATCAACAACAACAAAAAAACATCATCCCCCCAGAAAGCAAAACCAAAACACTTATGGAAGTTGACTAGAATGCAGAAACATCATACAGAGACATAAAATGTTGATTTAAGGCTGCTTTAGGAATCCCTTAGATGTAGCTGGCTGATGAATGGGCTTGTGATGCTTTTGCAGGTTCTCTGGCCAGCCTGTGTGCACAGAACATCCCTGAGGAGTAGAAACAGTTTGTGCAAGGAAAACTTTAACCTCAGTGGAGTATCAAGCCCATAGAATGTGTCAAGAGCAGGATATGCCCAAACTGGAAGTTTGAATGGCATTTGGTGATTTTTTTTTTTTAATTAAAATTTAAAATCAGTCCCTCCTAGTTTTGAATTTAATTTAGGGCAAAACTTTGTAGTTCTGTAACATGACAATCAGTACCAAAAGATGAGGACAAACACCTACCCATGCTTACCTTGGGAAACCAGGCATAGGGAAAAACCCAAGTTGTGATCCCACTGTCAGTGCTGCCAGACCTGTGCACCACATCACCACTCAGCAGGATAAATGAGAACTGGATCAGAAATTGAAGCATGACTGACTTTGTGTTTGATTACCCAGAGCGTGCAGTACCTCTTCTTGTCAGAGTTTGCTTTAATGATGCTTTGTGTTCACTGTGGGAATGATGTTACTTATGTTACAGGAGCTTGGCCACACAGTTGCTAATCCAGTGCCATTCCTGCCAGGCAGATTGGAAACAGCAGCATTAGTTTATTGCAGATCAGCTCTTTGTGTTAAGGGTCTGCAGCAATTCTGATGCAATGTAGGAGAAACTCTAAAGCTGGGTGTCTTATATCATTACTTCAAGACATAAACCAACCACTCACCACGGGAATTCAGAGAACTTTCTCCAACAAGCCTTGATTTCAGAGTTCTCTGTTCACAGCAGTTTGTTGCTCTGGAACAAGCGCTGCTCCTCAGTGTCAGAATCCTAATACTGGTTAGATGGATTATATGCTCCCATGAAGCAATTCTTATGTCTTTAATTGAAGACTGCCTTCTCTTTTTACTCTAATTCATTGTACATTAGTTAAGATCACTTCTAGCCACAGAACAACTGTCCCACCCAGAAGCTGTGGTGACAGTATAAAGGATGAGGGAAGAAATGAAGTGACTTCTCCCAAAACTCAGGGTGAAGTGTAATGTGCAAGGATTGTCCATGGGATTTTCAGGGTGGGCTCTGGTCTTCTCAGTTTGTGATTGACTCAGCACATTTGAAGCATCTCAGCTAAAATCCATCTTGGTATTGCTTAGACAGAAAAAGACAAAAGCCTTTAGTCCTTCTAAATTCTGTTTCTGTGCTGGAATCTGAAGTAAAATGTTATTCCTTTCATCTGATATTATGCAAGACACAACCTTTGCCTTCCAAGGTCAAGATCCTGGATACTGTAGCTAAATATTTATAGGACTGAGTAACTTCTTACCCCATTAAAAAGTTATATGAAGGTCATTTTCAGTGCCTCCAAATCCCCCTTATGGAAGATTTAGAGAATCTACAGGTATTAGTGTCACTTTTTTTTTTTTTTTTCAGGGGCCCTTGCCATTTTTCTCCTCACTTCTCTACAGAATGTCTTGGGTTTAAGTCCAAAATCCACCCTGTGCAGTTTGCATGCTTGGTTGTGCTGCTCCCTGACAACTGGAGGATTATGGATCATCCAGTAATGGATGCAATGGGGGCATTTTATGAAATGGAGATTACAGTTTAAACTTCCAAATCAATCGTAAATGGACCTTTTTGACCTCCAGTGTCATGGGAGTCATGATGAATTCCAACCTGCAAATTCAAATCAAAGTGCTACAATCAATAAGCAATCACACTGCTATTGAGGCAAATCCACAGTCAGGGAAACCTAACAGCAACTGAGTCTGGTTTTGGCTTTGTGATTTGATCCAAAATGGCTTAAAGCCAGGAAAAGAAATGAACCTGCTCAATCTCCCATGCTCAAGGTTATCAGTTGTGTAGGGGGATCCTGGGAAGTTCTTTAAGGCTTGTGAAACAGGGAAGGAATGTATCCTGGACCCTCCTGGTCACTCAGTATGTGGTTCGTGGAGCATAAGATGTCACTGAGACATGGCAGAGTTTCAGACCTTTGGTGGGAAGAAAGGACATAAAGAGGTCATCCTGGGTCAGCAGGAGGATACATTTAGCAACCATTTCTGATGCTGGCCAGTAACGTGTTTAGTATTCCAACGGCAATGGACGCTAAAAAATGGAGTGCAGTATGTCAGATACATTAAGAGCAGTCCTTCCTTTGGCTGTATTTTGTCAGCAGCCAGAAGCTGAGGGACATCCTGCATCAGAGCTGTTTCCACATCATCACAGTTATCAGTCTCTAGCTCCCTCCCTGCTATCTAATGTATGATGATGATGATAATAATAATAATTGGATGTGGTTGCTACCACTTGGGATGACAGTTCACAGAGTATAGAAATAAGGTTCTCCTGTTTAATTTCCTTCTCTTGTGTTTTCTTCCAGCACCACCACGTTGCCTTCCTATATCAGGATAACCAATGGCTACATCACAGTCAAACCTCCCATCTGGATTTCCAACCAGCTGGATCAGAGGCCGCGTCCCGACCGCCCGTCCCAGCCCCAGCCCACGAGCTCAGCCCCAGCCAGCCTTTCATGGCCATCAGTAACATTTCCTCTCTGCATGGCCATAGCTTCTTTTCTCCTGAGCCTACTGCAGCCCTCCTGACCACATTATGTTACATGCAGTCCCTTGGAATAGAGAGATAATTTATGAACAAATTGGAGTTTAAGACAACAACAGTTACAAGCTGGACCTTCTCAGTGACTCAGTAGTGCCTTCTAGCTGATTTTGTCTCTTTGCCCAGATACATTTTGAAACTCTAAAGCTTTATTGTAACACTGACTTACATCTTCTTTTTGTAGAAGGATCTTTATTTCCCATAGTGCTATGGGGTTTTGTAAAATATACATGTTCATATAAAGAAAAAAAAAGAAAAAGAAAAATGTATTTATTCGACTGGTAAACTTATTTTTCTTGTTGTATATGTTAATAACATCCCTATTAATCAGTAGCGATGGTGAAACAGATAAATTAATATTTTCTATATTTGTTTTCTGACAATTCTGCAAATGTCTGAACTGACACCAAATGAATGCTTTCTTTGTTTCTTTAACCATTACATTTTACAGCAGCTGTCCAATAAGTACATTTCTGCTGAACTTCTTTATTTTACTTCTTTTATCTCATTAGCATATCTTACACTGAATAAAGCAGATCCTGCTCTCTGGGGCCTGTGCCCTTTAGAAAAATAAGCACATTCTTAACTCATTAGCTGCCACAGTCTAAAATAATAGTTATTTTTACATGACTTAGTAAGCCATTATTCACAATAATCCTCTACATTACCCCTGTTTTTCTTAACTAAACTATTTAACTTTTTCAGAAATTACCAGTTTCCCCCTTTGCCCTGAAATTAATTCACCAGCTAACGCCTATTAAGACACCCTTCTCTTAATAAAAAATTGCTTTCAAAGTCTGGAATAATCCTACTTGGAATTCTTTTCTTCTCTCCCTCATTTTGTATAAGTATAAGCCTACAACCTTTTCAAGCATAAAGGAGAAGAGAGCTCGGTCTGTCTATAGATTACAAAGATATAGTGTCCTGTTAATCTATAGAACTCCTTTGTACCAGTTGTATTAATGGTCATGGACAACCTGGAGGCAAAATTCATCTACAAATTCCTCTTTCTGTTGATCAGTTCTATCAGCTACCATGAGCTGATAGAGCTGATATCTCTGTGCTGAAATAAGTGTGTCTTGTCCAAAATCTGCTCAACACCACAGGAATCAAACTAACCTCCATCTTATGGAGACATGCAGAACATTCTTCCATTCCTAAACTGTGGTATCTGACTTAGATGGAAAAGTTATGACTCCTTACCCTCACTGAAAAATGTGCTCCCTATCCAAACAGCTGTTATTGAGGAATGAGATTTACAACATCTATGTGGAAAAATCCCAGTGCCATCTTAAAAATTATTACGTTTAAAAAGGCATGTAGATGTTTTTTCACTACCAGAACAGGATGAAAAATCTCTTTGGATACAAGAGTTTATAATGAGTTTTGGTTGAAATTGTGGGGTTTTTTTCTAAGTCATCTACAAACCAAAAATCAAAACTGTGTGATGAAAATATCTTATTTAGAAGTCTCCAAATCAGAAAAACATAATACAAGCTTTTCTTTAAAAGTCCTAAGAAAAGCAGTGCTTCTTCACTTTCGAAAAAAAGATAATGAAGATAATTTTAACAATGTCACTAATAAAATTCTGGCTGAAAACAACGCTGTAAGTTTCCCAGCAGCCCTACAGCCTGGTCTCTGGAGCTGCAGATGATTCCATGAAATCTGCAAGACTCTGCAGTGAGAGAGAGTTCAGAATTCACAGTTTGCTTGTTGTCATACCAGTTATTTCATGCAAGTAAGTTAGAAAGAAACTAGGCTACAAAAACCACAGGATTTCATGATGAAATACTGAGCATTTCCATCGTGCATCCCAGCCATTGCCTTGCAAAGGCCAGGACAATACAGGTAATTTCTTTTTAACTTACTGGACACCATGATCCCCAGCCTCTATTTTTGACAGCAGACTGTGCAGGTTTCTGGTCAATTTAAGTGGGTAATAGCACAGAGTGTTATAAGCTTCCCCCAGCAGTTGATAAGGCTGAATGGAAAACTTTGAGCTTTGCCCCAAATGTGAGATTCAAACAGACCCCGTGCATACTTTCATATTGTGTATTTTGGCTAGCAGAAGATTAGAGATGTTAGTTTTGGACAGAAGCCATTCACCTTGCATAATATTTATTGCACAGAGATGGATATTGAAAACATATTTTGAGAACTTTCATTTTGGTTTTATTTGAGCTATTACTCTAGAAATGCCTTCATTTGAATATTATGGTTTAAGAGACCTTCAAATTTAACAGTAATGCATTTTAAAAAGATTATTGGTTCTCCTGATGTGTTCAAGGCAGAGATGAAAACTGAATTATCATGTCTTATTTACAAGACTGTAACTGGAAATAAGGCAGGTAAATCTTAAGGGCGATGATAAGTTACGTAGTAAAAGTGAACAGCCAACAACCCAAACCCATTGAATTTTATTTGTTGTAACCAGATCGTATCCAGAAATTATTCTGTGGTGCTATCCCAGGAATAATTCCAGGTGTTGGAAATCCTACAGTATAAATAGACAAGACCATGTAAAGATAAGGGAGAGAAAAAATAGCAGAAAACAGAAACAGCTTGTCCAAGACTGTAAGGAAAACCAACAACGGGACCAAAACTAGAAATTACAATTCTGAAGTTTCCCAATCTGTGGCTTTCTCCATAAGCCTCTGGGGCATTTTTTTTCTTTTTTTTTTTAATATTAGAAGCACACAAATCTCTCCACACTCCCAGCTGTCATTGTGCTGCACAGAGTAGTCACTCTTTTATCACCAGTGAGGTTTTCTGCATCACTCCTACGCTGGACAATAATATTCAATTTTCATTAGCTCAGATACTGTGGTATGTTTGGCTATCATAGGATGTAAATGGCTTGGATATCAAAGTATGTTTTAACATCTTTGCATTTCCTGGCATTTTCTCTGTAATTCTGAGAAATTAATGAATTTTACTAGAATCCTTGTGCTGGTGCCCCACATTTTTGCAGCACAGGTGTCAGAACAAGGTGTCCTTTGGATTTGGGGTCTACACACTTGATTTTTGTAGGAGGTGTGCAGCTCGCTCAGTCATCTGAGCTCTCTCTGGCTTAGGGAGGAGACATGACTTAAAGGTTGAGTAGGTTTCTGTAGATCTTAGCTCAGCAACCCCACGTGAATGGCTTCAGCACAGGTCTCTAACCAAACATTCCTTTTATTCTCTTGTCTTAACCTAAAGTACAACTTAGGGTCACTTTCTTCAATACTGTGTGCAGAGCAATGCTGGATAGTGAACCCTCACTGTGGTTGATAAAATTGGTTGTTTACTAATCAGCTGGGGCAGCCCAGCATTAATTAAAAAATTAAAACACAGTAGTAGTGGTTAGCACAGACTTATGCACACTGTCACAATGGATCATGATTTCTGAATTTCTCATGGCTTTCTAAACCATGAGTTTAAAACCTGGACCAGATCTGATACGTGCTCTGGAAGCAACACTGACTACCAGCTTCAGGGGGCTTCAGTTTCTTCTGTGTATTTCTCACAAAACTAAAAACTGACTCAATTCTTTCTTCCAATGAAAGCTCAGGTTGCCATGTTATCACAAGATTCCAAGAGCAGGAGATTTAGCAAAAATATTCATGCCCACCACATAAAATAGCAAACTGGTGATCCTGCTTATTTCTGAGAATCAGCATCAAGAGAGTCACCAGTGTCTGGCAGTCTAGGACACGACTTTGGCTGAGTCCAAAGCTCAGTGGCTCGTGATTCATCTTCTCAACACTGTTACAAGGGACACCAGCACAATTCACATTAAATGTAACTCTAGCATTATCAACAAATGCTGAGTACCTGCCAAGATCTTGCCCCGGTGGAATAAATAATCTCGTATCATCAGCAACAAATCTAATCTCTCCCCTTTCAGTGTTTTAATGCTTTTCTTGCTTATCTACAGATACTATATTAACATGCACTGCCACTTGGAGAACCAGTCAGTAAGCTGGGACAGAAGGTATTTTATATTTTATGACTGAAGCAGTTTCTCTTCAATCCCTAGAGCTGTTGAATAATGCAATAAGTCTTCTGGCAATAAATGATGAACATGATTTATGATAACTATGCTTTATACAGGTGTCAAAAATCTGCTTTGTTGAACGTCCCATTCCTCCAAGCTCCACTGTAATTTAGGAACACCCAAGGTACAGAGTTGTATATTTATCTAAGTTCTTCAATATACCATTGTGGAGAAAGAGAGAATGGAAAGAGGGAGAACTTAATCTGTTTAGTGCATTGATTAGTCAAATGATATGACTCAGTCATTACCATATACCACTGTTAGGGAGGAATTTCCCATCATGTATTTATGTTAGAGAAACCAAAGTGCCAAGGTTATTATCTCAGCATGTGTTACCATGCCAAACTTTGCTTAGTACCGTATTTCTGTATTATATCCAAAAATTATATGGTCTTGTCATATCTCTGAAGTGATCAATGTTCCATGGAGTGTGCTGAAACCCAGCTTCAATTTAAGCGTGTTTCAGCTTAACTGAAGCAGAAAGATAATTTGCTGAAGTTCGAGATCATAAGGTGTGGGTTTGCGTGTGGATGTGTGTGTGTGGGTGGGTGTGTGTGTACATTTACGTGTGTCTCTGTTCTGTCCCAACCCAAATTCAGCCTTTTCTATGACTAACATTTCAGGAGGCACCTTAATCTAGCTAAAGGCAGAGAGGTCTTTGCAATAAGTAGGCAACACTTTCCTTCCACAGGACTGATTAACCATCCTGCAGATTTGTGCTCACACCGAAATTCAGATTGCATATTTGTCAGTTTTCAATTCAAATGTATTTCAGATATTTTTCCTGTTCCGCCTCCTGCTTTTGTGAACTGTTTTGAAGAGTGTAATAAAAAGATGCTTTCTAATATTATTTTATCAAAATATTTTTGTAGCATAATATATTAATAAAATGTTATTATAAATCCATAGCACAAAAATCTTGTGTGTCTTGTTTCTTTCCTTTGCACTAAAAGCTAGGGAATCACTGAAAAAAAGGAACATTCTGTTTGTGGGGCTTAGGCATGCTACTTCTTTTATGCCCAACACCAACATGGGATGAAACATGGAGAAAGCAGAACAAAGCTCTTTCTTTTTAACTACTCCCTTCCCTCACTACTAATCCGTTTGCCTGGGTATGGTAAAACAGCACTGCAGCCCCAGGAGCTACACCAGCAGCACCATTCCTGTCACTGGTATTAGAGCTCTGGTGCTGGGAAGCACAGAACCATCTCTTGTCTGGCCCAAGGAGCAGCAGGGCCAGGAAATGAGCCCTTCCACACAAACCAGCTGGAGTGGAGCATCCATGCTCACTCCTGGTGGCTGCAGGAAGCTCTTTTCTCCCACTGGTGTCCTTTGAGCCGCTGTTGTTGCCACAGGCAAAACAAAAAAATACCCATTGGACTGTGTCTCCATTGAGGATGGAGCAGAAGCTGCCTCTCCACATCAAGATACAGACACACAGATTTACTCATTTTTCTTGGCATATTGCTTTTTCTTGCATCCAAGACATGTCTTGTAGCTGACAGTGCAGACTTCTTGCTGATCATTGTTTACTTCTTAATTATGTGCTAAATCATTTGGTCTTTAACACACCATTTGGAGAGGACTCCACCAGCAAAGCTGGCTTAGAAATATCCACTGTAGGAAATGCAGTGGGAGGTATAAACACTGGAGCTGGTTTGAATGAGCTAAACATGGCACAGGAAGGGCCTGTTGCAAAATAGCAAGGCAACTCTTGAAAAACAAAGCAAAAAGAGCCCATCTATTGAAATACCAACCAGACTGCCAGAGCTGCTTGCCATCCTATCTTTGGAGTCTCAGCCCATCTGGAGAGTCTGTGTGGTCCAGCCATGGGCTATCCCTGGCCCTGGCAAATGTATTTGAGGCAGCAGATCAGAGGGAAAACACAGCATTGCTTGTGCACTGAATCCCCACTGGATAAGGTCTGAGCTGCACCTGATTTGTGGAGGGACTGAACACATCATGCCAGGCTGGGGGAAAGCTGGAGTTCAGCTTAATGCTATGGCAGTTGTCTGCTCCAGACTGATCCCAGAGATGTGTTCATCCAAAACACACAAAGGGGCTCCATAATATCTCCAAGGGTTCAACTGGAGCAGAGGGAACCACTGAAAAATGTATTCAAGTATCTGTGCCCAGTGAGATGTACGCAGGGGGTGTCCAAAGACAAAAATAACCAGACATCCACAAGCCAGTAATGGAAACAATAGTAACAGTAACAATAGTATGTGTTCAGATGGCTAAGTAGCTGGGTGGTGGGAATACAATTACTG